AAGACAAGAGAGACAAGACAAGAGAAAGAAAGTGCTGCTAGTGAAAACAGTAAAGTAAGAAAAAGAGCACCAAGGAGGTTAAGCCATGGAAAATTTGAAATTATGGCATACTGCAATTGGCAGCTTGGTTTTTAACTCTTCACAAATTCAAAACAGAAAAGTTTGTTAGGGATTATACCACTTACAATCAAATCACAAATCAATCCACTTACATGCAAGGATATCCCTCTGGAAGAGTGTTAGGCTGCCAAGGACTCTCTGCTTAGTCTTTTCATCCTTGACCCTCTCCAAGATTAACTTCTGTCTTGAGACAGAGTAAACTCTTCCCCTGTATTTTTTTCTCGGAAGGGTCACAAGCACTTCACTTCCAGTGGCCAAGTCAATACACAACTCCATAATATGACTTCTACTTTCAATCAATGTTGATCTGGGCCAATGGACAAATTAAGACACCAAACAAATTTAAATAGGAGCAGCCAATCTTCACCATTCATTCCATGAACCCCAGAAATGTTACTGAAAGGAATAAAAAATAAATTTATTGCAATGGGACAATTTAAATATGGTAGCCTGCATAAAGCAGCAGATACATATATCTTCAACCTTACAAATCAAAAAGCAAACCTGAATTAATCTTGTTTTTCTTCCTTCTGTCCCCCTTCTTTCCAGGCTTTCCAGACAAACCATCCCAGCACACCGTGGAGAACAATCACTGAGATAATAGCTGAATACAAATTCCCATCAACTATTGAGTATCCTGCACCTGGAAAGGAGAAGAAGGAAATCACTACATTGGTTGGATTAGGCATGGATGAAGAAAGTTGAGCAAGGCTTTCATGGTGTCTCAAGACTGATTTTTATACAAGGTCTCTCTGTACAGGGTGGCCTGTCACATTACCCCTCCCCAGTACAGCAAGCATTCTTAAACTCTTTTAAAATACAGGATTTATTTGTAGTATTTATAATAATAAATCAATCATTGTATCTGTATGAGCTCCATCATTGTCCTTGCACCATTGAATTCATTGCCAAGTCCTCTTAGACATCTCATGTAGCATTTGTGGAGTCACTTGTGTGAAAGTGGCCACTACTGCAGCACACAATTCTTCAATCATCTTATACCGTTTGCTGACACTTTCTCCTTGATGAAGCACAAAGAGTTGTCAGGAGTCATTAGATCTGGACCACAAGCATATGTTAAGAAACTGGTTGGTACCACTACTTGTTACTGTGAGAATAGCTGAAAGTGTCTGGCTTCAATAAGACAGCACAACTAGGCACTTTGTGCTGCTTGGGACTATCTCAATGAAACGTTTCCTCAGCGATGGATTGGGCGCTGATCACTAACATCACCAGCTCCTCTATTGTGGCCACCACACAGTCCAGATCTAACAACTCCAGACAACTCTTTGTGGGGCTCCATCAAGGAGAAAGTGTCAGCAAACCAGCATAGGACGATTGAAGAATTGTGTGCTGCAGTGGTGGCCACTTTCGCACTAGTGATTCCAGAAATGCCACACAAGATGTCTAAGAGGACTTGGCAATGAATTCAGTGGTGCAAGAATGCAAGGTGCAAGAAGAAGATGGAGCTCATACAGATACAATGACTGATTAATATTGTAAGAACTGTTCAATAAATCCTGTATATTAAAAGAGTTTAAGAATGATTGCTTTACTGGGGAGGGGTAACATGACTTTCAGAACATCCTGTACATCTAGTAAGTCTACATCAAAAGAGCAAAGAAAAAAAAACAAAAAAACCCAAGAACATTTCTTCACTAATAACTTCACAAGAAGAGTTAGCTAGAATTATTGGAAAATACTGAATTTGATTACTCCAACTTTTATCTGGCAACCAGGGGCAAGTAAAGTTTAATATGGTAGGGTGGGGTTATTTAGATAAATTATTTTAGTTATTCAATTTCCACATGGAAAAGGTATTTCCTTGGATGACTCTTCCAATCCCTTTTAATTTAACATATTGTTAAGAGATTCGAATACAGATTGGACAAATAGCTACATGTGGGATGCAATCACATTGACCATTTTGTGAGTTCTCAGCTGTTAGGCATCAGTTTGTGTTATGATCTACTAGTCACTTCCAGCTTTCCTGATTGGGATGCTTGAGAGATGAATCAACCAAAGTAAATGACTTCTTGAAGTGGACCATTAAGCAAACCCAAACATTTGTAAAAGTAGAAGAACCTCTAAGGCTGGAAAAGAAAAATTTGATTCTTAAAATACACTACAGACCATGACCAAATATAGTTTTCAGTTGTATTTCTAAGCAGAATAGAACAAAATGAATGAAGCCCTGCTTCCTTCACCTGACATTTCACAACACAAATAAGAGAGATACAACTAGTCTACTACAGCAATGAGAGGGTGAAAGTTGCCCTTGGCATATACCTTTGTAGCATCTGTCTAACATCTGACAGCTGCTTTAATTTCTGCTGTACTTACCTAGGCTGTCTTTATGTATAAGGCTTAGGAGCCTTTTAACAAGCTCCCTCTGCTCAGTGGGAGTTGTTCCAGAGTTCTATAGTTAGCCTAGTTAATCTGGATTCAACAGTAATATAATTTCCCAAAATGTGATTCTGAATGCAATCATGGATAACAGAGGCCAAAAGCTAATAAATCTTTGGCTAAAAGAGTAGAATACTGGTTACTGTGACTAGGCCTTGGCTATAATGCTCTAAACCACTATGTACAGCTCAGTAATGGCAATGATCTCAAGCTGCTAAGGATACAGTTTAAAGCTGTAATGAATTGAAACTCACTATAGAGGAAGTATCGTGACAGGAAGAATGTTCCCAATGGAATAACAAATATAGCAAAGCTGCAAACCATAAGATAAAGCAATGGCTTGTCCGAATCCACACTCCCTTTACTTTCTGGCATCTGAAAGCAACAAGACATTATTAGGAAACTAACTAGGATAGGCTTGTACATTTAGGTCTAAGCTTAAAACCTATTAGTAAGGTCAGTTCTCTACATGATGAATAAAGTATAGATCTGAGTCAACTCTCATGTTCAATTTAAAGCAATGGAAGAAATTGCAAGATGAAAGTAGCAATATAAGTAAAAATTTTGGTTTGCAGAAAGTAATATGGATTTACAAAAACAAGAAACACTGAAAAACCAAATTTATTTGTAATCTAATAGCTGATTTTAAAACTAACTGGTAGCTAAAATTAACAATGAGAAAGAGGAAGAGAAAGCTCTTTCCAGCATTTCATATCAAATATAAAAATAATTTTCTTTAAAAGAGAGGATGTGCAGTGGACACAGACAACAAAGGACATTAAAAAAAAATTAGGAAGGGGGTTCCTGTTTGACACAGGCATCACCACCAAGATCACAATCCCTCAGGCAGGGACACCCTTCTATGAGACCTTCTAGGAGACCTTAGCTGAGCTAAGGCACAGGTTTTCAAGGCTCATGACTGGCATAAGTATTTTTTAGGTGTACTGCACCAGTATCTCTTAGACATAGCAGACTGAAGGGCTTAAGTGATACTCCACATTGAGCATACTATCCCCAATAATGCAGGTGGACCACCTGTTAGCAGAGAAAGAGCCCACTGCCACCTGGACACAATGCCCCACCTCCTAGGTGTTACAAAAAAGCCAAAACTTCTTGACCACCAAACGTAGTTTTACATGAAATATTAGTGGGTAAATTAGGAATAGCAGGATGCAAAGGTGTATGGAATTAATGGTTGGTGAGCTTTGGACAGTAAAGAGAAGGAAGTTCTTATATCTTGGAAGGAAGTATCTTGGAAGTTGGGAAAACAAATAGAAAGAACAATTCAATATAGTATTCAGCACGGATCCATCTCAGGACATGTATTATTTTTTAGTTTACAGATATGAAATTTTGCCTCCAAAATACTTCATCAAGCAACTTTAAATATACATGCTGATAATATACGTACCCTAACGTATACCTCATTAAAGAGAAATTTACATCATAGTATACATGGCAAAAATAGATTTGAGTCCATGAATCCAAGGATTAAAAGGGAGCCATTGATAATCATGAAATGTCAACAAATTTTATGACCTAAGGCTTGCACTAGAAAGTATACATGAATGTAGCTCTGAAGCTCTATGATAAAAGGTAGGATGGAATAAGAGAAGTAACAAATGAAGAATTTTTCATTGATGAATTCGTGAGACTAGAAGAGGTACAGAATTATAGAACGTGTAAAGGAAAATATTATTCAGGGCATAAAGTCTTCTTTTATGGAAATTCTTGAGATGTTGGTATGTCCTATTGATTCATATAATTTTATTTCACATTATGGTGGTTAAACACTGAAAGTCATCTTAGGAAACAAGATGTGGCATTTAAAAAAAAACCATATGAATCACATTATATGAACCTGTAAGCCACTGTCAATGTCAAATCATTCAACTAAAATACACAATAAATCATTTGGCACTGTGAGGTCAAATTATTTATATTTTGGAATATTCTTCTGCTTAAATGTTGAAAGAATAAGTAAGTCTCACGACCATCATCAAACTTAAGAAAGATGCTACCAAAATAAGGTGTCCACTCACATAAAGATTTAAGACATACTTCCAAAATGTGTAATCAACTTGCACTTGAACACAATATTAAAAAATCAACTATAGAAACCTACTATCATTATTATTACTTGGCTGTCACAGTGGCAATATTTATAACATCAATACTTCAACCTTAACCATCAGTGCAAAAGCAGAATATGTAATAGTTAATGAACATGTTTATAATAGTCAAAAGGAAGAGTGGCAATGGCCCTGGAAGAAGTTATCAAGTTAGGTGCAGAGACACGCATAATCTCCAGTCTATTCTGCACTACTGCATAACCTCAAGCAAGGTAGGGTCAAAAGCAAATGCAGGAAAGAGGGAAGGAAAACAAAGAAAAAGAAGCTTCTCAAGTGTATTCCATCATCTCTTCATAGGAATTGTCCCTTCAATTATATTATTTCTGCTTTTCTGTTTTGCAGGCTCTGTGGCATCTCACCACAAATACCCCATGCCTCATAGGGTAGCCTGTTAGATCTGCTCTGTTCCATCATCATCTTCACATGACTTTCAAGCCTACAAGTTTTAATTCTGGAAACAAGTTTCTTCCACAGTCTAAATTAACAATGCATTGAAATGCCTGAAAGAACCATTGATGCTATTAACTATTGATTAAGATATTGACATAATCAGACAGCTCTGATTATTACCACTTAAGAAGTGAGAAAAAACAGTCTGTTAGGTGCAATCCATTCAGGGTTTCCAAGAGCGACCCATCAAGCTCGTTAGGAACACCCTAATTATATAAACAGAGGTATATAAATTGGTGTTTTTGTTTGCTCATGGGCTCTCTCCACGTTGTTTAGTATATAAAAAAAAGCAACTTGCTTAGATCACCATAGTATTAAGGGCCACAGTTCCAAGGGTCTACATTTAAAGACACAACCTCTGGCATTTCCACCGACACACTCCAAAAACGTATGGATTCATTCTGCTTTCCTTCAAGTCTAAAGTTGGTAAGAATGGGTAGGAATAAGGCCTAAGCGTTGCACAAGTTTTCGGATTAACTCGATGGAGCGCAAGCTACAGTAGGTTTAAAATAGCGCCTATTCCTGAACTTTTGTAAGACAGAGGTCACAAGCCTAGTATCAAGCGAATCACCTTATGAAAGGCTAGTTGCTCTTAGCAACATTCTTTCAGGGAAGGAAAGAGAACCACGTGACAGGCGATGACCGGGGAGAGGGGGGAGGGAGGTAACCTAACAGCGGTCAGTGTCACCTAGTGGATCCCCGCCGCCCCAGAAGTTGATTTTTGATACTACAGATAACGCCCCAAACTGACACAATGGTCAATAGAAGTGTCGTCGGAGATTATAGACCACTTTATTGGGCCGACTGCTATGCTCCTCTCTCAGGCGAAGCCCAAACATTACCGCGATGCGGTCGGGAAAGTTTCAAGCCTAAAGAGGACTCTACTCCACGCTCACTTTCTCTTGGAGGGTGCATGGACGGATGGAACTCGGCTGCAGCCAAACCAGCGCTCCGCTTGCCTCTGCTCGTCCGTGCGTTTGCTTCCCATACGATGCCGTTCAGCGGGCCAGTGGGAACTTTTCACCTCTTGCTTGTTGTGCAGCTGTTTCTGCAAGGTTGCATTTAGTCGTTGCCTAACTAAATTTAGCCTTGGTTTATCTGTTCAGGGAGTGCTAATCCTGTTCCTCATGTCACGGAATGAAAGAAGTTAGAATAAAAAGCCCTAGTTGCATAGTCCTATTGTTACATGTCAAGGTTCAGGTTGGGGTCAACTAGGATGTGAGGCTTTACCCGACCCTGATGTGATTGTAATAACTGCAAGCCGTGAGGGAGGTTAGACTGCAGTTCGCGCGAACTTCGGCTTTACATGGGAACTTAAGGCTTACAATCGGGATGTCAAAGGTTTAAGTAATGTGAATTTCTTTTGCAGGTGTTGAGGCTTCAGGTAGGCGTAGCCTCAGATAGGCGTAGCGAAGGTGCCAAGAAGTAGTAAGAGATCAGTGGTTCTCAACCGGTGTGCACCCTGTAAGGCTTAGGTGTGCCGCCAAAAAAAAAGGTTGAGGACCACTGCTCTAGATAAGTGACGAAGGAGAATCATCTGTATCTCAGTATCTCTTCCTTATTTTAAGGGAAAAAGGACACCCTGACGTGAATACCCCATGGCACTTGGTGGTTGTTGGGTGTGTTTGAAGACTCTCGTCTTTATCTTCAGTTTCATCTTTTGGGTGAGCACATTCAACAGGTCACAATGGTTTATGTCTTCGTTTGGCTTCGCATTGCATTTGCATGTAAATACATTCATGCTAGTATTTCCATGCATGAACTTTGTTTTAAGTGTGTTACCTTTCTGGGAAATCATATCCATTTATAAAGAGATACAAAGTCAATCAAATTTCATTTAAGATTATATCCTACCCAAAGAGCATCAAGAAAGCCCATGGTCGAAAAGTGTAAAATGTATGGATATTCAGATGAGAAAAAAAAAAGTTGGGAGGGGGGAGAAAGACGGCCAGATAAATGTTTAGTTTCATATTAGCCGAGAGATGGCAGCACCATTTGTAAGAGATGTGTAAGTATGGGACTGTGTTGTTCGTCCTTTTGTTATCGCACGAACGGGGATGTCAGATGGGTCCCCAATTGCAAAACATCCATCTCCATTCGAAACTTGCGCCTTTTGACGGTGATCCCCAAGGTGTAGATATACAAGAGGCTCATACTTTTTTTCCGTATTGCATCATCGTTTGTGGTTACATTTCGCCATATCTTCCTATGTTTTCAATATCTTAACGTTCTACTTCCATTTGATTGGTAGATGAAGTGCTTCTAACATCACTTGAGTATCTTTGAAGGGAGGGGAAGATGCTGATAATAGTGTTCACTATGAAAGGGATTTTGAGCCGTTCCCGAGGTTTATGGTAGTGCCAGGCAGCATGAGGTTTTATTTAATTATTACGTATGGTAAGAGTCGTAACAATTGATTACGGTTAGGTTTAAAATGACCGTCAGCAACCTCAAGTACCCTTGTTTGTCCCATGAGACCAACGGCGCGAAACAGGTAACAGGTACCCAAGCAGCATGTTACATTAATTTTACGCAAAATGAATGTAAATTTTTTGTCCATTTTATATTTTATATTTTCTTCTTGTGGATACCTGAATGATATTTCTGTATGGGTGTTGCAGTTGGCGGGCTTAGCCCTTCTCATCATGTCATTATGGCTGTACTTCGACACACAAGAGAACGTTCAGGCCGTGAGGGACATGGACCAGTACATGGAGGGCGTTTACATATTCATGGTTGTTGGATCCATAATGGTCGTCGTCGGCTTCCTTGGATGCTGCGGAGCCCTGTGTGTATCTCAAGTCATACTTACCGCCGTAAGTACATGTTGTCAATCGACACTCTCCCTCTACGGGGTGGGCCTTCATAAGTCAATTGACTTTGTGTCGTGCGGTGAATTTTAAGAAACCAGTAAACTTCGAAATCAAGCTTTTCATGCTCATTTTGTAGCAGTAGCTCAAGACGTAGTAGCGGTTAACTTATGGTGTACTCAGGCTTTTTCTATTCTTCTAGTCCTTTGTAGCTGTAAAGGGACTTTTCATTATCCCTTTTTTTTGTTTGTGTACTCGTTTAACAGGATTTTGTATTTGTAAGTAATTCTATATTATTAGCAAACTCATTCAACTGCATGTTAGTACAAGTCCCTTTTGTGGCTATCTACTAATTTACCTAAATTACATTACAAGACTCGACCTTAGAAACGATTCTACGTTTGCCGCATCTACTATGAATGACGCCGAAGCCGGTTACGAATAAAAAAAGATGATGGTGATGTTGTTGGGCGTTAGAACCGAGAATTACACCATCACTCTTGTTATTGATAATCTCATCCAGAAACAAGAGATGGAGAGGAAGAAAGCTTTGAAGGCAAATTCTTTTGGAGGCCAGTATCAATCAGACCTGAATGAGAAATTTGCACTCCCTTTTTGAAAATTAAGTATTAGGATTGCTTGTGAGAACTTGAGAATGCAGAGTATTGTAACGTGCTGCCACAGCTCACGTCAGGTCGTCCGGGGAAAGTGAAAGGAGACATGCTGACGAAGGAGACAGAATGAAGGACGAGTAGGCCCTGATATGAAAAAGAGGAGAAGTTCGAATATGGAAGACACCATCCAATGGATGTGAGATCCATTTTAACATCCACGCTCTACCGTAGCTGAAGTCCAGTCGGAATCCGGATCACAGGATCCTTCGGATTGCCCTGCCCAGGGAATCTCTGTCGCAATCAAGGGTTATTTGATGATCCCCTTTTCCAAAACCATATGTTGGATAGGTACAGTACATGGTCGGAGGTACGGACCCAAAAAGTGATGGGGATGACTTTGTCCTCGAAAGCGTCACTCAATGAGGACTCTTCCTGGAAGTTGGAGAACCAATGGGCGAAATGTACCACCCAAGGACCCCTCCCCCCAGGAACCTCCTCTGGATGCTAGAGAAAAGCAGGAGTTTTCGTCCTGGAAGTCAGTCCCGAGTTGAGCGAGGGGACTCGGCCCTTTTTTGATCGTGGTGTTTTCCCTCTCAGTCCGACCTGAGTGCTAGTTTCCCACGGTCCGACCTTAAGAGTAGGTTTTCAGCTAAAACCGCAAAATTGTTCTCTCTCTCTCTCTCTCTTGTGTGCGTGCGTTTGCCCAGGAAACCGGACAGGTTATTTGTTGTCTGTCAAGCTTGCTGACTAACCACAATTTTGTTTCTTTATATTTTGAGTACCTTTGCTGTGTAAAATGGTAACCTTTAAATTTCTTTAATAAATCTAGGTATCAAACTCGGTCGTGTGATATCCCTTTCTCGGCCATGAACAGGCACAAACCTTCCTCCTGGTTGAAGGAAGAGATTTCTTAAATGTATTTGTCAGGCGCGGGACGCTAGGAAGCGAAATTGAGTAATTTTTTTGTTTGCTGCCAGTAACAATCTCCCGAAGTGCCCCGTGCCCGTGACATTTCTGGCGCAGTCGGTAGGATCCAAATTTTGATTGGAGGTGTTACCCTAATGAAAGTTTGGAGAGAAATTTCGTAGTCCTGTTCCGAGAAGCGAATATCACTTTGAATTTTACTGCTGTAACAATAATGGCGGAAGGGAAGGATATTTCCACCTTGCACTCGGACATTTTGTGATCCATTCCAGAGTTTTCAGGAGAAAAGGGATCAATTCCAGGAATTCACAGAGAAAGTTAAAACATTAAAAACTGGTGGGATGGGAAGGTCATGTCGCGATCGCGATAGTTAGACTCAAGGTCACAGGACCAGCCCGTTCTTTTCTCGCGGCAGACCCTAAGGCGAATGGTGCCACGAAACTGGGAGATATCCTTGATATCCTGATAGCTCAATTTGAAAGAAAGGAAGAGCTCACCACACTCTTATCATGAGTTGGCGAGGATGACTCAGTATTCAAATGAGGCAATGAAAGTATGGGGAGCTAGGATCTAGAAGTTAGGGACAAGGTTTTTGAGTCACTGCTGATACTCCATTGCTTAAAGAAATGCTTCAGAGCAAATTCGAGCTAGGAGTGCAGATATGAGGCGATATCTGCGGTGGAACAAATTTGACTTTTTGACGACATGGTTGCCGCCAAGAGGAAAGAAAGGATAAGCCAGCTGAGAGGCCTGGTGTTTTCGGAGTTGCTTAAATGCAGCGTGAATTCGTTCCTGTAGGACGTGCACCTCAGAAAGCTCAGCAACAACGAACATTTGTCAGACCTCAAGGACGTCAGTCAACCTACCAGCTGAGGGATCGACAAATATACCTACAGTGGAATCGACAGTCTCCTCCGCCTCGAAACGGAAGGTCAACCTGTTGGAGGTGTGGAAAAGCGAGACACCTCCAAAAGAACTGCCCCTCATTACCAAAACCATCAGGAAGTACGCCACAAAGGTCTGGTTTCACATGTTATGCCTGCGGTGAGCTAAATCACTTTGCTCGAGACAGCCCAAATAACTAACTGTCGGGAAATTCAGAGGAACCCTCCTTTCATCAGGCATGAAGCGAGGGAAATCAAATCAAATGCCAGTAATGAATTTGCCTTTTGCGCCCGGTTTTGTTGAGGATATTGGGTAGGAGACATTGAACAGTACAGAAGTGGATCTTCCCCTAACTGTACTAATTACAGTCCGTGTCAGAGGATGGACCACCTCGTACGGTTCCATGAAGTATCCGCAATATCAGTCCATTTCCTCCTTCTGCCGTGGAGATGAGGATATGGCCGAATGGAGTGTACGGATGCTCCCTCTATATTTCGGATCTCCTTTTCGGATGAAATCCTCCTCCCTTTCCAAAGGGTTCTCATCGGGAATGTGAGCATGTTTGTGGCCTCAGCTCCATGAATCTGTCTTGAATAAGCGGATAACAAATGAATTGTCCGCGTTTATTAATTCCTATAATGAGACTAGGCGAGACATATGGCGAGGTACTAAACAATCCTGCGAAGGACGATTCCAGGGAAAGAGGGATGGGAACTTTGGCGTGCTATGCGAAAAGCGAGCCCCCATACCTCCATCTAGTGGCCTGGCGAAGAACTTCAAGGTTTTGAAGTTCTCCACCAGGAGTTCTGCAGTTCTTTTCAACGTGTGGATATGCCCACGTTAGGCCCACATGGGGCCATCGTTCTCCAACATTCACGTTCCGCCAACGTTTCCCACCTTTATCCAATGTGGGCCCAACGTAACGTGTTATCTGGGTTTGCTCCAGTCAAGGCTGTTTTGAGTTGATGTTCAATGTGGCAGGAAAGGGTGTTTGTGTCACCACATGGCTGTCCTCTAAAGTATGTTGCATTCCGGTTGGGGTTGTTGCAGGACAGGATTTTGCTTGCTGCCTTAGGTGCCAAGTTAGATTTCAAAGAAAGTTCATTGACATGTGGAAGAGTCAAGTTGCCATTTCAGATTGCCGTCATGGGGCGGGATCATGCGATGGGCACTGTCAGTAAGGGTCTGAGACATATGCCTGGGAAACGGGATGAGCTCGCGAGAGCAAAGAAAGAGAATGAAGGGTACATGAAAATTGATCAAGGGCAAGGTTGGACACCGTTGGGGCCAAGGTAAATCGAAGACGCTCAAGCTCTCAGGTAAGGACGACCCATAGGCACAATTGTAGCAAGCAGGTTTGACCTGCGGCCTTGCAATTCCCTCCCACCAATCAGAACGGCTTCACCGTTCCAACATGGGGGGCTGCCAGGAATGTCATCATGCGTTACGTGCTCGCTGGCTGCGCTGACTCGTAAACTTGTACAACTAAGTGTATGAAATATTGCATGATCCAACAGGATCAACGCGGTTACGAAGAATGCCAAGGGATTTTGTTGCGGGCCAACTTTCTGGCATGGAAATTTCACTGGAGGTGCTCATAAAATTCAAACCGGGACGTCTGGTCACCCTAATCAATATTGAAAAAAAAAGGGCTTAGCCTTTGGCCAAACTTTGAGTGAGCTCGTGCAACACACTCTCGTAAGAAACTTAGTAAAACTAAGCTTAGGACTTCAAATCATACGCTGTCCGCCACCAAAAATTTGAACAGCTGCCACCACTAGAGACATGGTAAATACAACTAGACTGGACAGGCCAATGGAGAACGTGCCGCAGCCCCACGCCGATTAGAAGGGGCGGCCGCCATCACTCATTTCGTCAAGTCGATCAATTTTTGATCAACTTTTCCATTTTTGAGGAGTAGAAACCCAGTCTATTTTTATTGCACTAACCAACGTGAGTGTGCAATACTAGTTTCCCTTGCAGTTGGGCTCAGGGTCTACATGACGATGATCTTCGACTGCCCTGTCCAGTCTAGTTATATTTGAAATGTCTCTGGCCACCACAGACGGCCACCGCAGATCGGTTGACGCCTTCCGTCATTGGTGGAAAGGAATTGCAAAGCCGGAGACCGGACCCGCTTGTCAATGATATGCTGTGATGGAGCCATCTTTAGTCCATGTTGAGCGTCCCGTTCCTCCTACTTTGTATTGAGATGCCAGGGTATTCTGTCCCAAACTCCTCGAACAGGAGCAGAAATGGGCTCCGTTTCTTAAAGTTTCTTTTAGATTCGGAAAGACGTGCACGGTGGGCATTGAATTATAGGTGGGAAGGCCCTGCCCATATAGGCCATGGATTGAATTGAGTTTTGAAATGCGCTTTTTCCTTCTTGCCTAGTCCTTGTAGATCTACATTGCAGCATTTCTATTTTTTATGGTTTTCTTTTTAGATGCTTTCTAATTCAAGCCTAGGCTTTGTTCATTGCTTTTTTTATATTTTTTTCTAGATTGCACTTAGCTTTTAAATGCAGCTTTGTTTGGGTGCTGGCCTTGTTGATCTTGCTCGTTCCAGTTTTTCTAAGTTTTTTTTTCTAGGCATTTGAATATTAAATATGAGTTCATGGATTGCATAGTATCTGTTTTATTACAGATACTACCCTTGCAGCTTTACAATTTGTCAAATGTTTTGTTGCTTGGTGCTTCTTGTTACTTTTGTGATTTTATTTGATTTTAAGAATTTCTTCAATGTCACTGTGATATATGACCTTTGATCACATTGAATGATGGAAAAATAAAACTGATGCTGTTAACCATGGAATATTACTGAGGAAGATGAAGACTCAGCGGTAAGGGGAAATGTACTGAGAAAGTTTGCAAATACCTGAAAAGCAGGCAACAAATAATTAACATCAGTGTTTGTAAAGTGGTCCATTAACAACTGAGTGTGGGGCACCTTAGGGTTCAGTGTAGCATCAGGAAAGGAATGAACGAAGAAAGGAACTGCAGGGATGTATTGTATCATTTAGATGTCTCAAGGGCATCATTGTTGCAGATCCATTTCATTCTTCATTAGAAAGCATGATGATACGAGTATATCTTACCATGAAGGGGAAATCTATGATATGAAATTGGTGTGAATCCCTTTAGTGTCTGATAACTGAAAACCTTGCAACTGAAGACATCCTCTCATCACCATGACA